CTCGGGATGTCCCACATTGTCCGCTGCGAGAGCACGGTCCACCGCATACAAACCGCGCACCACTCAAACGCAATGACTCGCGGCAGTGCGAACAAACAAGCTGCACTCCTCGAGCGGCTGTCGACGCCTCACACGAGTGGGTCGCTCGCAATTGTGGAGCATGATGAGGTCCTTTGTTCCCATCAGCTGAATTCGGTCGAGCGCGAGCAGCGAGGTAGGCGCCCAGTTCGGACACGAGGCGACCCGTGTGCGGCGCGGCGCCGGCAGCCGCGATCCCCGTACAGGGCACTGACGAGAGATCCGACCAGTCTGACTGCACACGGCGGCGCTGACAGTCGCGATCCTCGTACAGGGCACCACAGGACACTGACGAGAGATCCAGCCAGTCTAACCGCACACGTCGGCGGCGCCGACAGTCGGGTGGGAGACGACTCGCAAACTGGCGGGCCGCGCTCCGGCCTGATTCAGCAGCGTGCACGGGTGGGGGGGGGGGGGGGGGGAGGGGAGATCTGTGCACCGGTTGTGACTGATCGGTGGCCTGCGACTGACTGGTCTGGGTTTGACTGCAGCTGGACATTCCTGACCTCAGCCGCCTGCCGCAGCCCAATGGGACGCCGCCCGGAGCCAGAGCCAAGCCCTCATGGGTCCCAACGCTGTGCTGCAACGGAAATCAAGCAGCTGACCGCCCAATCAGCCCGTGGGTGCATTCATCAATCGACGGGTAATGAAAACCAGGCATGTTGCCGCGCCGGAGGCGGTTATGGTAGATTGGCACGTTTTTATGGCAGCGTGAGTGAGGGATCACGCAGCGGTTAGTAATGGCTTATAGACGCGCGCCTGATGGGGCCATCAGATGTTGAGAAGACACCGGACTGTCGGCACCAGGTCGGCATCATCGGATAAGCATCAGGGGCTGGCGGCAGCTAGTGCTGATTAGTAGATGACAGCGGCATGTCAAACGTTGGAATGTGTTGTATGTCAACAATCGTATGTGTGGATGGCAAAAGTATGCTACCCCAACGGTATCTGTTTAACACTACTGTATTAAAAGATAGCACATTGTACAGAATATAAGGCATGTGACGATGGTGCATGAGTGGATGAGTTACACTGCCACATGTTAAGTCCAATATCGCAGCACCTTATTCGGCCTTTTGTTAGTTGTCACGACCTCTACTACAAAAAATAAATGTTGGCGACAAATTTATTTGACGCAACTATTACACGACCAAGCGAATTTTTACAGACAAAACTTCTGCACGACTGGATGGGTATAAAAACACTCCTACGCGACGTGACGGCCGCGGGCAAAACTCCTTCGCGACACACCGGCGACAAAGTCTGTACGCCATAGCACTGCCACGCATCACAAACTGCTAAGAAAAACCTTACGAACAAAGCTTGCACGTACGTGGAAGCCCGCTACATGCAAAGGCTCCACGGCGAACTTTTCCATAAATCTTGATCGCGGAAACGCCTTGGAACAAGAAAAACAATCTTGCCCGACTACGTTAGGTCACGTTAGACCAGGATATATTTGGCTAGTTTAGGTCAGGTTAGGAGTTGTATTGTCGGCGTCCGCGCTGCATCGTGCATGAGTGTCGATTGTGGCGCATTTTACAGCGTGTAAATTTTGGCCGTGGAAGGGTTACTAGTGAAGTATTCTTGTGTGGAAGTACGACCGTAACAGTGCTGACACGCCCTGCGATCGTTCTGCGCGCGTTTTGTAGTGGTAGTAACATTGCGTATAACAGCATTGTCTGTAAAATTGCTGCTACGTAGAAGTTCTGGCAATGGCGATTGTCAGTAGACGTGATGCAGTGCAGGCCTTCCCCAGAGAAGTCTGACATTTGGCGTCAATGTGGCGCAGCACCAGAGCGTAGCAGCTTTGTCCGCGGCGGTCGAGCCGTCGAGATTCGTTCGTAGAATCTGCATCGCGCGAAATTCTGAAGCCAGACATCCTGCCAGCAGACAGAGCGTAATATGGCAGCTCTGACCGCGCCAGGTCTGACGTATGGCAGCAATATCCGGCAACAGTTGAGCCCTTACGAGCCGTGTCGGTAAAGTTCTGTCCGCCGCGGCTCTGACATGTGGCTGTTGTGTGACGCCGTGACGCTCCTCGCCTGCCGCCGTGAGTAACGCCGTGACGTCTCGCCTGCCGCCGTGAGTAACGCCGTGACTCCTCGCCTGCCGCCGTGAGTAACGCCGTGACGCTCCTCGCCTCAGCCGCGAGTAACACCGTGACGTTCTCGCCTGCCGCCGTGAGTAACGCCGTGACGCTCCTCGCCTGCAGCCGTGAGTAACACCGTGACGTCCGCCTGCAGCCGTGAGTAACGCCGTGACGCTCCCGCCTGCCGCCGTGAGTACACCGTGACGCTCCCGCCTGCAGCCGTGAGTAACGCCGTGACGCTCCTCGCCTGCAGCCGTGAGTAACGCCGTGACGCTCCTCGCCTGCAGCCGTGAGTAACGCCGTGACGGCTCGCCTGCAGCCGTGAGTAACGCCGTGACGCTCCTCGCCTGCAGCCGTGAGTAACGCCGTGACGCTCCCGCCTGCCGCCGTGAGTAACACCGTGACGCTCCCCGCCTGCCGCCGTGAGTAACGCCGTGACGCTCCCCGCCTGCCGCCGTGAGTAACGCCGTGACGTTCTCGCCTGCAGCCGTGAGTAACGCCGTGACGCTCCTCGCCTGCAGCCGTGAGTAACGCCGTGACGTCTCCCTGCAGCCGTGAGTAACGCCGTGACGCTCCTCGCCTGCCGCCGTGAGTAACACCGTGACGCTCCCCGCCTGCCGCCGTGAGTAACGCCGTGACGCTCCGCGCCTGCAGCCGTGAGTAACACCGTGACGCTCCCCGCCTGCAGCCGTGAGTAACACCGTGACGTTGCTCGCCTGCAGCCGTGAGTAACGCCGTGACGCTCCTCGCCTGCAGCCGTGAGTAACACCGTGACGCTCCGCGCCGTGCGCGCGGCCGCGCTGCAGCGGCGGGAGGGTGAGCGCGCGGTGCGGACCGTCGCAGGAGACGGTGCGGCGGCGGCGCAGGCCGGTCCCGCCCGCCAAACACATCCCGAGTGCGCAGCGGGACTGCCGGCCGGCGCCCATACGTCTTCGCCTTGTGAATAAGCAATGCCGGACTCTGCCCGTATACGGGCACGGGCGTCGACCCGCGTGCGAAGACGGCTGGAGGGAGTCCCTGTCGGTCGGAGCCAGACCTCGCCGCGTCATCGCCGAGAGGGCGCTGGCGCGGGCCGGCTCAGCTCGCGGCGAGGCGGCAACACGAGAGAACGAGGGAACCCGTCAAAGGGATATTGACGTAGTGCGACCAAACGGAGCATGGTTACAGTGGTCCCGCCAGCGGTTTTGTCACAAAGTGCTGAAAATTTGTGAATTACTCCAGGGAAAATGTGCATTTATGGTTTTGTTTAGCCTTGATCGTAATTCCATTCAAGTCATGCTGCACATCACGACACGTTCCGGCCGATCACTTCCGTTCACCGTTCGCCATCCGCCGTTCAGTGCAACGCCGCCATCCCACACCGAGTTCTAGTTGTATTAACTGACATGACAAAATGGTTTGGGTGTTGCTGTCGGTAAACAGGTATCACAACTACCTATCGACGATATACGGATATCTTTCAGGAGGGTAGAAGCAATCGTCCACTTTTAAACATTATTGAACGGTTTCGCACGTTTGTCAAATCTGACTAAATACGGTGTGCACCCTGTCCGATCGGACACGGCCGGTGGTCACCGCTGTAGCACACTAAAAATATGTCACGAAATAAGTACACCATCAACTATAAAAATACACCGTTGCCTTTGAGGGGACTAGGTGCACCGGGAAATTACTTTTGAGCTCAGCATTTGTAATCTCAAGTTGCCTCATCTCAACTGAAGGTTGTCTTTGTTCTCCCGTCATTGTTTCTCTTTGCGCTGCGATGTCTCTACCATGTTTCCGCTTTAACATGAGCCCTAACCGGCAAGAGCCGCGTTGTGGTACGTGTACACACTGCTGCATTATGCCAAAGAAAGCGCCAAGAAAGCGCGAGTGACCATATCGCTGTGGTTTGGTGCGTGCTGAGTAAAAACGGCTGCGTTTTGAAACAAAATTTTCCTCTTTCTAAAGACAACAAAGTTTTGTCACCCTTATTCCTCGTATGGTCAATCTATTCAGGAAAAATTACATTAGTGATTTGCTTTTTCCGTTTTGTTGTTCTTTTTTTGGCTGACGATACCCCCGCCGTACGGTGACTGGCCGTCCGCGTCCGAGCTGACCAGCGGGCGGCAGCCGGGCGCGGCCACTGGACGCACAGTGAACACCAGCGAACGCTCCTCTCTGCACGCAGCGCAGCTCGGAGCCGGCTGAGCCCCCTCCCCCCCCCCCCCCCCCATCCCTCCGCAGCCCCATCTGAGTCCTTCCGCACGCCGGCCGCGAGAAGCTTGGCCGGACCGGCGCGGCATTGTACGGCCGCCGACAATGGGCCGCGCACTGGGCACGGCGCAGCCACAGCTCAGCTCAGCTGGACTCTGGCCCCGCGCCATTACACGGTATTGTTATGAAAATACGGCCGGCTGCTGTCGGCGCGCTGCGCGGCGCGCGCTTCGTCGCGGCGCGCTCTGCCGCTGCGCGCGGCAGTTCCGGCGCGCGGGGCGGTGAGCGCGGCGCGCGAGTCGTTTGTAAGCGGCGCAGGTGACGCAGGCTTTCCTCCCAGGTATGTCGCGCCGCCGTCGGCCGATCATAGGGCGCGATTACCGCGAGGAGCGCTGCGCCGCGGCGCAGACCCCTATCGCTCGGATCTCGGCGCGGCTCTCTTTCCCAACGGATAAGCGGCGCACGGACGCCGAGTGCGCCAGCACAAAAGCGGCGCCCACGGCCGCTCCCGTCACGCGCGTCACGCCGTCACGGGACGTCACGGCCGCTCGACACGGGAGACGCGGCCGGGAGGCGAGGACAAACAGCGGGGGTGGCGTGGCCGACGGCCGGAGGCCTTCCGTCGATGGCTTACCTTCGGCTCGCAGCTCTTGTGGCAGGCATATTTGCACACTGGAACAGACGGGAGGACGATGTCAGCGAGTGCCGCCCGACCGCCCGCTCTGGCAGCCTCGTAAACGTACGCACGCACTCAATGTAGCGACGCACACACGTACGCACGCACTCAATGTAGCGACGCACACACAGAGACACAAACACACACTCAACCCACACGTGTTTCATGTGCGCAAACAATACATGGACAAAAAACGTTTGAACGCTTCGGGTAGAAAGAGAGCTGCCAAACCGGCGCGCGTTCGCAGACAATCGGAGGTACCCACGTGAGCATTCCGAGCGACGAAGACGACCAATCACGCCTCGCGGGCGCGCACAGTCACTGCGCGTGAACAGAGGGGTTGTGGGACCTGCAGGGCCGCACGCGCCGTGATGAGCGGTGCGGCCGCATTGTCTGGAAGCGGGGCGGAGCGTCGCCCGGCCTGAGGCCACGTGTCCGGCCGGGACGGCAATACCGGCTAACGAGACGAACGGCGGCGCGCGCCACGTGCCGCGAGCGGACCGCACGTGATGGATGAGTCGCCGGCCGCGCGGCGTCGCAAACACGCCTGTGGCGCCCCCTAACGACGTCCCGCCGCGGTTGACAGTGACCGCGGCCGCCGCCAGGACGAACTCCTGAGCTCCCGTCCCCGGGCACGGCTGGACAGCCACCGCCCGGGCCACTGGCGCCGGCAGCCCGTCCGCGGCGGCGGCGCACGGCAGCCGCCCGAGCGACCGCCCCCGCTGCCGGGCCGAGGACCCCAGGCCGCCTCCGAGCGGGACGGCGGCTGCAGCGATGGCACCGCCCTTGACGTGGCCGAGGAGCCCCAAGCAACGGGAAGTCCACGATCACCTCACGGAGCTGATACGGATTGAGGCCTCGAGGACTCAAAGAGCAAGTCGTTTTAACAATCATTGGATACGCAACGGAAGACAACGGAAAAAATTGGTCTCATGAGCGGACAACTTATAAAAGACTTTAATGAGACCGGAAGTAAAGAGCTTTCAAATATGCCGTGGTTTCATATTTTCCCTGACCATATAAGATCGCCTGTCAGTACCAGTTCCCTGCCCGTTGGAAACCAAGCCATTAAGACCAGCAGGGTTGCGCAAGTCCGCATCACCACTATCGGGGGCTATCGGAGCGCGCTCGGCGTTGAGGCCGTCGGTTTCACCTGGACCGGCCAAACACAGCGCCCCGGCTCCGAGGACGCACGTTCCCCGAACACAGCGCCCCGGCTCCGCGGACGCACGTCCCCCAAACACAGCGCCCCGGCTCCGCGGACGCACGTCCCCCAAACACAGCGCCCCAGCTCCGCGGACGCACGTCCGCCAAACACAGCGCCCCGGCCCCGCGGACGCACGTCCCCCAAACACAGCGCCCCGGCTCCGCGGACGCACGTCCCCCAAACACAGCGCCCCAGCTCCGCGGACGCACGTCCGCCAAACACAGCGCCCCGGCCCCGCGGACGCACGTCCCCCAAACACAGCGCCCCGGCTCCGCGGACGCACGTCTCCCAAACACAGCGCCCCGGCTCCGCGGACGCACGTCCCCCAAACGTCGCGTCCGTAACGACGAGACGGACAGGCTGTTCAAAGCACGTCTGGGTGACCGTCCAGGATAGATACAGGTGGCGGTGGTGGCCCGGCCCCGTGCGGAAATCACAGCTCCGGTCAGAGGTGGCGGTGGTGGCACGGCCCCGGGCTGGGATCAAAGCTCAGGTCAGAGGCGACAGTGGCCCCATGCTGGGCTCACAGCTCAGGTCAGGGGCGGCGGTGGCCCCGTGCGGGAATCACAGCTCCAGTCAGAGGCGGCAGTGGTGACACGGCACGGTGCTGGAATCACAGCTCAGGTCAGAGGCGTTCCGATCGCCACTGGATCAGTTCCCAACAGCTGGGGTGATGCTCACCGTCCGACCGATCCGACCCCAACTGTGCCAATGGACGGCCCCAAGCGATGATGCTTACCGTCCGAGTGACCCGACCTGGCCCCAACTGTGCCGATGGACAGCCCCAAGAGGTGATGCTTACCGTATGACTGATCCGACCCGGCCCCAACTGCGCCGATGGACGGCCCCAAGGGGTGATGCTTACCGTACGACTGATCCGACCCGGCCCCAACTGTGCCAATGGACGGCCCGAAGGAGCGTTCGCAGGCTGGGCGGAGCCAAGTTATCCATATCCAATGTGTAATGGGCTGGTTCTGGTTGGTACGTGATGAAAATTGTGGTCAGGGGTGGGTTTGTTCGTAATGACTAATCATGGAGGATAACGGACATAATGATATATTTGCAGATAGCTATTTACAGCTATGTTGCAGATATATCACTGAACATTGCTGGCTGTGCTTGTATTTTATCAGAGCTTCTGCATGCACGTGACCTGTGATCATCAAGGGATAAAAAACGAACCATAGCTTACAAGTTCTTTTTTATCACTACGAATCCCAAATCTACCAAATGGTTCACGGGCTGTGAAATGAGGATAGGACTGATGGACTGAGTATGCGGCGTTTGGCACGGGCCTGGCCACCATAGGTGGCGGGCGAACCGGGTGAAAAGATCCTACACCCGAACGTCTCTATCGGCCTGTTCAACCGGCTGTTCAGTCAGTTGACTCGCCTGTCCGGGACGTTGTAGCCTGTCGTCGATCTAAGGCGCGGTATCGAGACGCCGCTGTCTTACAGGCCGGCGACAAATCTCCCGGACATGCACGCTTTCGGACAGCAGCGGCGCCGTCGGATGGGCGTACCGCTTCATCGTGCCGGACAGCGAGATTGGATCGCGAGCACGGCACTGGCTGCGGACCCGGGCCGCATGCGACGGCTCCACGGCAGGCGGCCCATCGTGTGGCGCACGGGCCGGCCGTGTGGCGCTCCGGCCGACCGTGTGGCGCACGGGCCAATCGTGTGGCGCGCCGGCTGACCGTGTGGCGCACGGGCCGACCGAGTGGCGCGCCGGCTGAAGTGTGGCGCACGGGCCGACGATGTAGCGCACGGGCCGACCGTGTGGCGCGCCGGCCGACCGTGTGGCGCACGGGCCGACCTTGTGGCGCGCCGGCCGACCGTGTGGCGCACAGGCCGACCGTGTGGCGCACAGGCCGACCGTGTGGCGCACAGGCCGACCGTGTGGCGCACGAGCCGACCGTGTGGCACGCCGGCCGATCGGCCCACCTTGTGGCGCACAGACCGACTGTATGGCGCGCCGGTCGATCTGTACAAAACACATAGACAAATACGGACTGGATGGTGGCTTCCGCTGCACTGATTTAGCACGCCCTTCCGCGTGCCAGCTGGCCACGTGACCCTGTCGTTAAAGCTCGATGGATGCATATGTTGATGGTCCTTCCGCAGCCGGCGGCACCGGCTCGGCGGGTGCGGCAGCCAGCCGCCAGGACGCGTGACAGACGACCCAACCCGTCTGACACCCGTGCAGCCGGCCTGACAGACGACCCACCTGACACCGGTGCTGCCGGCCTGAGAGACGACCCATCTGACACCGGTGCCACTGGACTGACAGATGACCCACCTGACACCGGTGCCGCCAACCTGACAGACGACCCATCTGACACCGGTGCCGCCGGCATAACCCGCAGCTGTCACCTACCGACAGCCGTCGCCGGTCGGGCCGCCCACCGCTCGGCCTCGCCGGTGATCGCTGATCGAAGCGACAGATGCTTCACAAAAACAGCTTCCCGTGATGGGAGGCTGGTCAAGTGGCATTTGTACGCGATGAGTATGCATGAAAATTGTTCTCACAAAAGATCTCCACATTTGTGGCCACGTTCTGCAGCATTTGTGGCCAAGTTCTGACTGCAACGCTTCAAGTGTCATTCCAGAGCAGGGCACGTAAACACAAGCAATGTATGTGTAATGAGTACGAAAAGAAACGGAGTGATAACTCATGTCGTACAAATAAAACAAGTGGATTCAGTGCATTTGCACAAGTAAACAGACAACGCTGCCGAAGCCTGCGAGGTGCAGGAGTGCATAGCAAATAACCGCACATTGCAAAGGCATACCGCAAACATGGACCCGGACCACGCGACTAATGCACACGCTCTGCAAACGCCATTCATGGAGGTTTACGACACGTGCAAGCTGCTTTCGGCAGCTTTGAAACGCCCTAAAAAATGTGTCAGAAAGCGCCCGATGTCATCAACGAATGCTCTGAATTTCGGCGGCGTTTTCGGCGGCACCGGTAAAGGCACGACAAGACGAGCGTGCCGCGCTCTCTCCCACGCGCGCACAACCGCTGCCATCAGCCCACCTCCCTCATGCATAAAACAAACGGTGCCGTTCCCAGCACGCCACCTGCGCCCGGTGACTCCCGTTGACAAGCTGGGACGAGGCTCACGGGCCGCGGCACCGGCGGCAGCTCCAACCCGCCCGGAAAGGTCCGCTCTGGGGCTGGGGCTGCGTGAGCGGCGCGGCACCGGCGGCAGCTCCGGGCCCGCTCGGAGAGGTCCGCTCTGGGGCTGGGGCTGCGTGAGCGGCGCGGCAGCGGCGGCAGCTCCGGGCCCGCTCGGAGAGGTCCACTCTGGGGCTGGGGCTGCGTGAGCGGCGCGGCACCGGCGGCGAACGCGGCGCTCAAGGCTGGCAGACCGGGAGTACCCCTGACGCATGCACACACCCATGGCGGTGGTCCAGGGACGTCACCGGTCTGGCGAGGGGAACACCGGCCGCACAAACGTCTGTGTCAAGAGGTCTTCTTCGTACTCACGGTTTGTGCCAGTCAAAAGGCTTTGAATGATGCAAACACGCCGATTGTCGCGTTATGTGCATTCGCGCCGTCCAGAATCCCAACACCGAGCCCCGGAAGTCGAAACTTGGGAGAGCAGCTGTCACCCGGTCATTAGCGGAAAATCAGACAAATGCCGTCCAGTGAAACACGTCCGTAGGTTACGAGAAGTTGTCCGAATACAGATAGCTATGAGATGAATTCACCGTGTGTTAGCTGGTATAACCATATGCTGTCCCCATCATCAACCGTGACTATTAAACTGACTTTCAGAGCGCA